TACTACGAGTCGTTTTTTTTGCAGGGAAACCTTAAAGAGCTTTATTCAACAAGTGCTCGCTGAGCAGTCGGCCAATAGGCTGCTGATCAGGAACGGGGGAGTAGAGTATAACCAGCTCTCAGTCACAGAAAGCGTACAAGCACGCTTCGCACACAAATATGCTGGACCCTTTGCTGATCTCATTACATGTTGAACAGTAAAAAAAAGTAAAGCTAAGAGCTAGCTCTCCTATTTCATCTAGGATAGGTGCTATCACCGAACGGTCAGTGTAGCGAGAGTTCCAGAGGTTTACTGCCTCTAGACAGTCGGTCTCCATGATCACATGCGTGTAGCCTCGTAGTGTTGCGAGTAAAACTCCTTCCTTAAGCGCTAGAGCCTCCGCGATCAGAGGATATGTCACCCCCGGGATCCGCTTGCACCATGCACCCTTGAAGCCCGATGTCAAACGAGCGATGCCACCCGCCCCTGCGTTGCCATCATCGAGATGAGTGGCAGCGTCAGTGTTGATTTTCATGTATCCATCGTCGGGCGGCCGCCATCCGAAGCCTGGCAACATAGAAACTTGCTGCTTCGGTAGCTCAAGTAGAGCTAGATCCTCGCGTATCCATCTTACTGAAAAGACAGGATCAGTGCCATCCCGTTCGTGTGTTAGCCGATTTCGAGATGTCCAGATTGCCCACATCACCGTGACAAGGATTGCTCGTTCCTTCTCAGAAAAACGTTGATCACATAAAATGTCCTTGGACCATGTGCGGGGATGCAGCCTTGGCAAGTTGATGTCGAAGAGCAGCCTGGTTTCCTCCCGGAACCGGCGAGCATGTGAGCAATGCATAAGTGCATGCTCCAGATCTTCTTCTCTCGCCAAACAAACCTTGCAGGTGCTGATCTGTCTCATGTGGCGACGTTTGAGAGTACACTCGTCCGGTAAGATCCCTCTCATCACACGCCACCAAAACACCTTGACTTTAGGGACTAATTTGAGTTTCCAGATAGCATTCTCCGCCGTGTCGCAACGGAATGTTCAGAATGGCTGCGGCATCCGGCGCGATAAAGATCTCCCGAACCTGCTTTGTCCGCCATGTCCAGCTTAGTGGGTCTATCAATTCATTCATGGTTTGCACCGTGGTGTTAGCTGGACGTAACAGAGGAGACATCTTGATGGTGGAAGGAATCCATTTATCCTCCCAAATTGATATGGACGATCCGTCGCCTACTCGCTTCACCAGACCGGCCTGCAGTGCTTCACGGCCCGCCACAATTGCCCGCCAAGTAGCAGACGAGGACTTGGGAACCGAAGCATGTAGGAAATTTGTGTCTGGAAAATATCTTCCTTTCATCACCTTGGCACATAGGGAGTTCGGGTTCATCATGAAACGCCATCCATGCTTCCCTAGCAAGGCCAAGTTGAACATACGGAGATCGCGGAAACCCATTCCGCCCTTGAACTTGGGCGTGGCCAGCTCATCCCAGGCAATCCAGTGCAAGGATCGTTTATCTAGGGAGCTCCCCCACCATAATTTCGCCATACTGGACGTGAGGCCTTTGCACACCTTCTTTGTTAGAAGAAAACAGATCATGCTGAAAGTAGGTATCACTTGAACAATAGACTTGATAAGTGCTTCCCAGCCGGCGCATGCAAATAAGCGTTCGGACCAACCTTGCATTTTCCCTCTAGCTCGATCGCACATGTGTTCAAACGTTCCACTATTGATTTTGCCAACGGCTGTAGGTAGGCCAAGGTATCGCTCTGAAAACGCTTCAACTTGGACACCTAGCAGCTGCTTCAAAGTTTGCCTGAGATCTGTAGGTGTGTTCGGACTGAAATAAATGGCACTCTTACTTCTGTTTACACATTGTTCGGAAGCATCGCCATAGATCTCAAGAATCTGGTTAAGTCTTGTTGCACTTTCCATATTTGCCTTGATGAAGATAAGGCTATCATCGGCAAACAAGAGATGATTCACCCATGGGCTCTAAAGTTTACTCGAATGCCTCTGTCAACATAGTTGCCACAGTTCTTCAAGAGAGATGATAAACCTTCGGCACAAAGGAGAAACAAATAGGGAGATATTGGACATCCTTGCCAAAGTCCTCTGGATGGGGAAAAATATGGTAGCAGCTCTCCGTTCACCCGGACTGCAAAGCGAACGGAAGTGACACACTTCATGATCAACCTCACGAGATTGACCCTGAACCCAAGTTTCAATAGGATTAACTCCAAGAAATGCCATTCCACCCTGTCATAGGCTTTCATCATGTCAAGTTTGACTGCACAAGTGAAATTTTTCCCTTTCTTTCGTCTTTTCATCGTATGAACACTTTCAAAAGCAACCAGGATGTTGTCAGTAATCAAACGGCCGGGGACAAAAGCACTTTGTTCTTCACTGATAATATCATCCATGCACGTGCGCAAGCGGTTGGCAATCACCTTGACTGCCACTTTGTATAAAACAGGACAAAGTGCAATGGGACAATACTGTGAGATATTTTGGGGGTGACGTACCTTTGGGATCAAAGTGATCGATGTATCATTTATGCCCGTGGGGAGTTCACCACCATTGAGAAAATCCAGCACCGCCTTGGTTACATCTTCTCCCAGAAGCTCCCAGTGGCGCTGGAAAAAACCCGCTGTAAAACCGTCCACTCCCGGCGCCTTGGATGGAGCCATTTGAAACAGAGCCTGGCGCACTTCGGATGGTTCGAACGGTTTGCATAGGAGATCGTTCATAGCCGGGGTAACCCGGGTGGGAACATGTGATAATAGTGCATTGGCATCATGGACGCCTTGCGAGGAGTAGAGAGCCTGATAAAAGGCTAAAATTTCCTCTTTCACTTCTGTATCCGTAGCATAAGCAGATCCATCTGCTCTCGTGAGAGAAGTTATTCTATTAGTGTGCTGACGCTGCCTTGCTTGTGCCTGGAAGTAGGTCGTGTTGTGGTCTCCCTCGCGCAACCATGGGACTCGCGAGCGTTGCCGAAGCCAAACCTCTTGGAGACGGAGTGTATCTCTTAACTGAACCACAATTCTT